GACAGACAGACAGACCGACAAAAATTCTAATTCGGCTTAAGTCCACTTTATATAGTCGGCTGGACTGGTTTTTTCTAAAAAAGATTGCATGCCTTAAGCGCAAAGCGCGTAGGTATATTCTATTAGCGCCTAAAATCAAGAATCCAACGTTTTGTTGCATAAAATCGTAGCTAATAATCATATTGAACATAATATAAATGACATAAAAAGCACACTATACTTATTTTTTGAATCGATTAATTGCTAGTTTTACATTAAAAAGTGGTTTTAGTGGCTTATCATGTCGATTTATCAAGTCCGCGTGGCGGAATAAATACGATAACTTTTGAAAATATCAATTGTTTAACTCAATATATTTTTTAATCTCTTCATCTGTCATGTGGGAAGCCAAGGAATTTTAATTTTGTTTTGTTTAGTTGTAATTCACTTTTTTCGGATGAGAAATTCCGAAATTTTAGGTGTTTAAGCAGTCGTGTAATTTTACTAAATGCGGATACACTTTGACTCAATGCGGGTTCGGCCGCCATCGTCATTGGGTTATTGTATCGTTTGTACACAGCGGATCGTGATGAAAAATATCTATCGCTGTTAGAAATACAAAATATATCAAAAACCAAAATTGATACATATTTGACCAAGGTAAGATATTATTATGAATGAATGAATGAATGCATTTATTCGCTCTTCACAATAGGTATTCTTAATGCTAAGTGTTTACAAAAGTGCCAGACTGGTACCTAACTTGTGAGAGACTGGTGCCTGATGTAGGTTTAAAAAAACCTGTATTATTAGTTTTATAATCACAGATTTTCATTACAATATATTGTTTCGCTAAAAGTACGTAGGATTTATATATAAATATACGTCTTAGATTTTATGGAGTGACTTACTTTGCTAAATGCTAAATTAAACTTGGACTTGATAAAATTACTGGTTATGACTAGATAAAAAACTTTCTAAAACGAAATAAAGTTGATAAGAAAAAAATATTAACGAGTGGGGTAAAAAAAGACTAGTTTTTGCGATAATGCCTGAGTACAAATATTTTTTTTTTTTTTGCATGGGGAAATTCCTACGCATACCCGCCTCGCGGGGGCAAGGACGGGTTATGTCGGACTCGCACCGACTAAAACCCCATGGTGTTCCACCTTTGTCGCATATTGGCAGGGCTACGGGAACGCTTTCGCACACATCCGCGGCCCTACTAGCGCCTGCCGCCCCATGGCAGCACCTCCTCGGGAGAGGAAAATTCCTCCCCGTTCTCCTTCCCAGGTAAGGCGCACCAGAATACATGGCGCGCCTTCCTCCACGGCCTCCAACTACGTCTGTGCACCAGACGCCCTCGCGTCCGATGCACAAAGGCCATGGGGCCAGGAAAAACGAGCACTTAGAAGTACTAGCCTTCCCGACCCCATCGGCGGATCTGGTCTATGGCTCCGCCGCCAACCAAGATTCGGCTGCGGAGGGTAGGGAGAGCGGCGCCTCGCAATACCGACAATTCTCTCCCCCCGCAGCCTCACCACCACCGCATCAACGGTGCGGCCCCGTTTGAGTCGCGAAGGATAGGGCGAGTGGCGCATCGCCATACCAACACTCCTCTTCCTCCGCGACTCCACCTCGGCTGCAGCGGTAGAGGGTGCGCGAGTCCCCACTCGCTGCAGTCCACCAGCACACATCCGAAGTGGGCTCCCCAAGCCCACTCGAGCGGCCACCTCAGGCCGGCCCTTCACCTCGGGCCAGCCACGTGGGTTCCTCTTTGTTCACCGTGGGAGACCAAGCCACGGCTACTAAGCCCCCCCGCCACGACAAGGCGGGAACCCGTTCGGGGGGGAGTACAAATACCTAAAAATTAAAGTAATATTAAAGTTGATTTCTGGCCGTTTTAAGACAATTCTGTTAAAAGTTTTTCCAATCAACAATTATGAATAAATTTAATCCCAATAATAAAATAACAGTAAAATAAAAAAATCTATTGTTGATTGAGAATTTTTTTCTACATTTTTTCACGATCATATGAGCATTATGAGTCGTGCACTTTTGGATTTTCCACCTTTTTTATTGACATTTCACATAAAATTATCGGAAAATTAGAAGTAAAAGTAATAAGGTTATTTGTGAAAATTTGCGTATTTTAAAATAGTTTAAACAATTGACGTATAACATGAGCGCTTAAGGCATTCACATTTGGATTTACCAAAAGTTTCTATTAGAATTACTGACACGACTTTTCTACAGATTTAATTAATATTTTAATAGTATTTAGTTTTAAACGGAGGATAACCATGTATATGTTGACCACATAACGTATCGAGGAATACGTTATGTTTTAACACCAGTAACTCAGCAACTTTTGTAGGACAATGTTGGCTTTAAGAGTGGAAAAATAGGTCCCTAATAAACACCAACGTGTCGTATCGGGTAATCAAGAAGTAAATAATCGAGTGGAATGAATACTGATTGTTTCTTCAAGGAACGTTATCTTTTTTAATTTTGTAATAATCTTAAAGAAATTACGATTCATCGACATTATTTATCGTCATTTCATTATCTCAGTATTTACTCGTATATTTCATAAATACAAAAGAGCGTTATACACAGCTAGTTTGAAATTAAAAAAAATCATGGGCTAGAAAATATCAGCCGCACTGCCGCAACGCGTGTTGGCGGACTTCGCATGTCTTCAAAATGGTTTTTCCTCAAGTTGTTCATCTTCATCGCCAAGCTCGTAGTAAATCAGAACTCAAGATTGCAATTAACGTCTTCATTGTTGCCGGCGGGGAACGAACCGGTTGTAACAGTCCAGTGCCTAGTCATTATCTTTCAGTGCAAAACGTACTCAGATCATCATTTTTTATTTATTTTTATTTTATAGAATAGGGTGACAAATGAGCACAAAATCCACCTGATGGTAAGTGGTTACTGTGGCCCATAGACATCTATAACTATCCTCGATTACGATTCTTAGTATTATAGTGAGGACTAAGATGGAATGCCTCGTTTCCAGTAAATAGGGTCTCCGGTTCTCTACACAGCATCAAGCAGTAAGCTGCTATTTTATGCCGGTATTTCGTGAGAGTGTGGTCCTTCCCCGGTCGAGCCAACCCATTCGTGCTACAACTATACTAATAATATAACTGCAGTATGGCTCTACCACGTAAATTATACACTATATTTCACAGCAGGCGGTCTCCAAGTTACAAGAGCTAGCGTTGGAAGCTATCTGTCATCCACCGCATTCCTCAGACCTTACGCCTACAGACTTCTACTTTCTCCAAAATTTGAATAACGTTTTGATAACACCCGAGAAGCAGTACAAAATGAGAACCCACAGAATACCCGCATAAAATAGCAACTTAACGCTGTTGTGTTCCGTATGGTGAGTATAGAGAACCTGAGACCCTTTTTACTGGAAAGAAGACATTCCATGTTAGTCCTCACGGGTGTCAACGCATTTGCACTTTGCTTCCTCAAAAGTCGTGTAGGAGTAACGGGGACAAGCGATTGACCACAGCTGGTTGGAGACTGCGTTCTCACTGTGTTCAGTTCTTCACAGTACATATCTGCAGTAATGCTCATCCCCTTTGGTAAGAAGCTGTGATACAACACACTGACGCTAGACCACCAAACAGTGACTATCAGATTTCTATGAGTAAATTTTAGGTTAGGGCGTTGTTTAAGTCCTGAACGAGGACCCAGCCAACTCGCTGAGCGCTTGCGATTGTCAAACAGAATCTATTTTTACCTGTGACGAAAAATGGATTCTGTTTGACAACCGTACCAAAACTTACGAAAAATACGGTTCAAAATTACTTATTTTGTGCACCTGGTGAGCAGTGTAAGGCACATCTCGACGCGTACCTCGCGCTGGCGATCATTGAGTTCTTGGGGCACCCATTTTCCATGCTTTTTTACCTTGCTAATTTGACGCAAATGGACCCATATTGCTTTAATGCTAACATCGAAAGCTGCTGCTAATTCAGCCGTAGATTGAGTATCATCAGCATCCACAATTGCTTTTATATCGTTCGGGGTTTATTTTTCAGCTCGAAATTTCCAGGACAGAAGCCGGCAAACCAATAACAGGTGGTGCGTTAGTTTGTAGTATTCGCTCCGAAAACGTCGTTGATGTTGCGTGCCGCTTGTACCGCATTGCTGCCACGACAGTACATATATTTTATAATTACTACTCGACTTTTTAACATATCCATGATGACGAAAAAGATTCAAATCCGATGAAAATATGACGCTAATCAATAAACAAGTCCTTGTAACTTTTTGTCCTACGTAAGTCCTTGTGCTTTCGATTGCTTACTTCTGCAGCATCCACGAACTATGCCTATCGAACTAGGTTAAGTTCCGAAACGCACCTTAAGGTTATCGTCTTATAGAAAAGCGTACTCCATGTTTTGGTGCGCCATGCTAGGAGACGAATGCCCCCCCCCCTTTAGGAATGAGAGAAAGAAAACAAGTTATATCTCAGCCACAACACAATATAGCATAATAAATTAAAAAAGCAGTTAGAAGAAAGTTTTATAATCATTGTTGGATGCAGTAACAAAACGATCACGGAATTAGTACTAGCTATAGCGACATTGCCGAAGAACTGTTGTTCTGCTGTGCTGGTACCTTGGGCAAATATTTCTTTAAGGCAGATCGATTTGCTGCTCACGCTCCTTTTAGTATAGTATCAACTATTTAAGCCATGAGTTCTGAGAGTTTCTTCCTTCAATTTCGTAATACCTGCGGGGCAGCGTGACAATTCAATGATCAATCGAGGAAAGATCAATTCAATTGAGGAAATATCGATAGGTATGTTTAATTACTTCACTGTACTGTCGAATGTCTTTGACTGCGCCCTGCGATTTATGATTCAAAGCACACGTCATGGCTAAGTTTCTCAATAGTGGGCTTAGTATAAAACACTACGAAATGATTTACTCCACATCATACGAGCATCTGCATTTGTTTCTTTCAAGTCTGTTCAACCCATACTCAACAAAATGTTCAAACTGGTAAGTAAATTTGCAGGAATAGGGTATTAAGTTGTATTTGTGTGGTTGGTACTATTTTAGGCGAAATTATTACATTTTTATTATTCTTCTTTATATATTTATACGTGAGTAGTATTTGATCTCCTTAGAATATTTTATTATAGTTATTATATTATAGATATAATTATATTCCTTGAAATAAATTATATTATGAGTCATATAGCGTGCTGTGGTAGCTTAGATGGTTAGCGCCCGCTGCAAAATTCACAGTACGCCAGTACACCGGGTTCGATGCCCGCTGGTACCAATGAAATTGTTTATTGCAAATTTGATTAACCCCAATGTCCGATAAATAAAAAATAAATAATTCGGTGACTTTTGAAGTTCACCAACACGCATTAGGGTAGCGCGGCGGACACTTCCTTGTCCTAAAACCCTCTCGGAAATGAGTGCAGTATATAGACTGTAGTATAAAGACTGTAAATTTAACTTTGAACTTTAACATATAACGTCATGTCTAGACTTTCATAACAGTTGATTTGCTGCAGTAGTAGTTAAGTTCATTTCAACAAAATAAGTAAAAATAATCCTTACATTATCATCATCGTCATTAGGCACTGCTTGAGCAGCATAGCATAGCACCTCATGCTTGGCAGGCAGGCATATGAAATAATAAATTGAAATTTGAATTATGGTACCTAAGTAGCTCATACATAATTAATTATGTTTGTATTATATTTTGTTTACTAGTTGACAAGTTACACGTGATAACAGAAATTCTGATTTTATTCCAGATTCTCTTGGCGTGCTTCCTCGCACTAGCCGCTGCGAAGCCCCACGTGCTTCCAGTAGCCTACACGGCAGCATACACTGCTCCTGTGGCAGCTGCGTACTCTACACCACTCGCTTACTCAGCTTACTCCGCCTACACTGCACCAGTTGCTTACACAGCATACACATATGCTGTCCCCTACTCTTACTACCTTCGCCGTTAATGTTAATAAAAAACATGTGACATAAAATCTCTTTTATTATACATATCAGAAGCATCAAGGCCGGCGTTAAATCGAGCATGTTACTTGAAATTTGCGATAGCTGCAAACACACACAATACCTCTGTCATATAAAATATGAAAAATAATTATTACCACATTAACGGCGAAGGTAGTAAGAGTAGGGGACAGCATATGTGTATGCTGAGTAAGCAACTGGTGCAGTGTAGGCGGAGTAAGCTGAGAGCGAGAGGTGTAGAGTACGCAGCTGCCACAGGAGCAGTGTATGCTGCCGTGTAGCCTACTGGAAGCACGTGGGGCTTCGCAGCGGCTAGTGCGAGGAAGCACGCCAAGAGAATCTGGAATAAAATCAGAATTATATTAATATATATATATATATATATATATATATATACATATATATATATATTTATATATATATATATATATATATATATATATATATTTATATATAAATATATATATATATTACCATAGTGTGTGTGTGTATATATATGATTATAATTTGGTTTTAGGTAAATGTGATTAAAAAAATGTGTTATAATCATTCGGAATTCATCCATTTATAACTAATATTCAGAATTAATCCATTTAAATATCCAAAGTCGGTGGATGTAGGTGGCTCAGGACCGTGCTTTGTGGTATTACTTGGGGGAGGCCTATGTTCAGCAGTGGACTTGTGAAGGGCTGTAATGATGATGATGATGATGATGAAATATCCAAAGCTAACGTAGGCCAGGGGGGTAGGAAATACGGATACACTTTGACTCAACGCGGGTTCGGCCGCCATCGTCAGTGGGTTATTGTATCGTTTGTACACAGCGGATCGTGATGAAAAATATCCATCGCTGTTAGAAATACAAAATATATCAAAAACCAAAATTGATACATATTTGACCAAGGTAAGATATTATTATTAGTTTTATAATCACAGATTTTCATTACAATATATTGTTTCGCTAAAAGTACGTAGGTTTTATATATAAATATACGTCTTGGATTTTATGGAGTGACTTACTTTGCTGAATGCTAAATTAAACTTGGACTTAATAAAATTACTGGTTATGACTAGATAAAAAACTTTCTAAAACGAAATAAAGTTGATAAGAAAAAAATATTAACGAGTTGGGTAAAAAAAAGACTAGTTTTTACGATAATGCCTGAGTACAAATACCTAAAAAAAGTAATATTAAAGTTGATTTCTGGCCGTTTTAAGACAATTCTGTTAAAAGTTTATCCAATCAACAATTATGAAAAAATTTAATCCCAATAATAAAATAACAGTAAAATAAAAAAGTCTATTGTTGATTGAGAACTTTTTTCTACATTTTTTCACGATCATGTGAGCATTATGAGTCGTGCACTTTTGGATTTTCCACCTTTTTTATTGACGTTTGACATAAAATTATCGGAAAATTAGAAGTAAAAGTAATAACGTTATTTGTGAAAATTAGCGTGTTTTTAAAATAGTTTAAACAATTGACGTATAACATGAGCGCTTAAGGCATTCACATTTGGATTTACCAAAAGTTTCTATTAGAATTACTGACACGACTTTTCTACAGAGATAATTAATATTTTAATAGTATTTAGTTTTAAACGGAGGATAACCATGTATATTTGAAGTAAGGAAACACCAGTAACTCAGCAACTTTTGTAGGACAATGTTGGCTTTAAGAGTGGAAAAATAGGTCCCTAATAAACACCAACGTGTCGTATCGGGTAATCAAGAAGTAAATAATCGAGTGGAATGAATACTGATTGTTTCTTCAAGGAACGTTATCTTTTTTAATTTTGTAATAATCTTAAAGAAATTACGATTCATCGACATTATTTATCGTCATTTCATTATCTCAGTATTTACTCGTATATTTCATAAATACAAAAGAGCGTTATACACAGCTAGTTTGAACTTAAAAAAAAACATGGGCTAGAAAAATCAGCCGCACTGCCGCAACGCGTGCTGGCGGACTTCGCATGTCTTCAAAATGGTTTTTCCTCAAGTTGTTCATCTTCATCGCCAAGCTCGTAGTAAATCAGAACTCAAGATTGCAATTAACGTCTTCATTGTTGCCGGCGGGGAACGAACCGATTGTAACAGTCCAGTACCTAGTCATTATCTTTCAGTGCAAAACGTACTCAGATCATCATTTTTTATTTATTTTAAATTTTTAGGATAGGGTGACAAACGAGCACAAAATCCACCTGATGGTAAGTGGTTACTGTGGCCCATAGACATCTACAACTATCCTCGATTACGATTCTTAGTATTATAGTGAGGACTAAGATGGAATGCCTCGTTTCCAGTAAATAGGGTCTCCGGTTCTCTACACAGCATCAAGCAGTAAGCTGCTATTTTATGCCGGTATTTCGTGAGAGTGTGGTCCTTCCCCGGTCGAGCCAACCCATTCGTGCTACAACTATACTAATAATATAACTGCAGTATGGCTCTACCACGTAAATTATACACTATATTTCACAGCAGGCGGTCTCCAAGTTACAAGAGCTAGCGTTGGAAGCTATCTGTAATCCACCGCATTCCTCAGACCTTACGCCTACAGACTTCTACTTTCTCCAAAATTTGAATAACGTTTTGACAACACCCGAGAAGCAGAACAAAATGAGAACCCACAGAATACCCGCATAAAATAGCAACTTAACGCTGTTGTGTTCCGTATGGTGAGTATAGAGAACCTGAGACCCTTTTTACTGGAAAGAAGACATTCCATGTTAGTCCTCACGGGTGTCAACGCATTTGCACTTTGCTTCCTCAAAAGTCGTGTAGGAGTAACGGGGACAAGCGATTGACCACAGTTGGTTGGAGCTCACCATTCTTCAAGACAATCTGCAATAATGCTCATCCCCTTTGGTAAGAAGCTGTGATACAACACACTGACGCTAGACCACCAAACAGTGACTATCAGATTTCTATGAGTAAATTTTAGGTTAGGGCGTTGTTTAGGTCCTGAACGAGGACCCAGCCAACTCGCTGAGCGCTTGCGTTTGTCAAACAGAATCTATTTTTACCTGTGACGAAAAATGGATTCTGTTTGACAACCGTACCGAAACTTACAAAAAATACGGTTCAAAATTCCTTATTTTGTGCAGCATGGCTTTGAGCAGTGTAAGGCACATCTCGACGCGTACCTCGCGCTGGCGATCATTGAGTTCTTGGGGCACCCATTTTCCATGCTTTTTTACCTTGCTAATTTGACGCAAATGGACGCATATTGCTTTAATGCTAACGTCGAAAGCTGCTGCTAATTCAGCCGTAGATTGAGTATCATCAGCTTCCACAATTGCTTTTATATCGTTCGGGGTTTATTTTTCAGGTCGAAAATCCAGGACAGAAGCCGGCAAACCAATAACAGGTGGTGCGTTAGTTTGTAGTATTCGCTCCGAAAACGTCGTTGGTGTTGCGTGCCGCTTGTACCGCATTGCTGCCACGACAGTACATATATTTTATAATTACTACTCGACTTTTTAACATATCCATGATGACGAAAAAGATTCATGCTGAAAATATAACGCTAATCAATAAACAAGTCCTTGTAACTTTTTGTCCTACGTAAGTCCTTGTGCTTTCGATTGCTCACTTCTGCAGCATCCACGAACTATGCCTATCGAACTAAAATCGTTTAAGGTCCGAAACGCACCTTAAGGTTATCGTCTTATAGGAAAGCGTACTCCACGTTTTGGTGCGCCATGCTAGGAGACGAATGCCCCCCCCCCCCCCCCTTTAGGAATGAGAGAAAGAAAACAAGTTATATGTCAGCCACAACACAATATAGCATAATAAATTAAAAAAGCAGTTAGCAGAAAGTTTTATAATCATTGTTGGATGCAGTAACAAAACGATCACGGAATTAGTACTAGCTATAGCAACATTGCCGAAGAACTGTTATTCTGCTGTGCTGGTACCTTGGGCAAATATTTCTTTAAGGCAGATCGATTTGCTGCTCACGCTCCTTTTAGTATAGTATCAACTATTTAAGCCATGAGTTCTGAGAGTTTCTTCCTTCAATTTCGTAATATCTGCGCGACAGCGTGACAATTCAATGATCAATCGAGGAAAGATCAATACAATTGAGGAAATATCGATAGGTATGTTTAATTACTTCACTGTACTGTCGAATGTCTTTGACTGCGCCCTGCGATTTATGATTCAAAGCACACGTCATGGCTAAGTTTCTCAATAGTGGGCTTAGTATAAAACACTACGAAATGATTTACTCCACATCATACGAGCATCTGCATTTGTTTCTTTCAAGTCTGTTCAACCCATACTCAACAAAATGTTCAAACTGGTAAGTAAATTTGCAGGAATAGGGTATTAAGTTGTATTTGTGTGGTTGGTACTATTTTAGGCGAAATTATTACATTTTTATTACTCCTCTCTATATATTTATACGTGAGTAGTATTTGATTTCCTTAGAATATTTTTTATAGTTATTATATTATAGATATAATTATATTCCTTGAAATAAAATTATATTATGAGTCATATAGCGTGCTGTGGTAGCTTAGATGGTTAGCGCCCGCTGCAAAATTCACAGTACGCCAGTACACCGGGTTCGATGCCCGCTGGTACCAATGAAATTATTTATTCCAAATGTGATTAAACCAGAATGTATGAGAAATAAGAAAATAAATAATTCGGTGACTTTTGAAGTTCACCAACACGCATTGGGGTAGCGCGGCGGACACTTCCTTGCCCTAAAACCCTCTCGGAAATGAGTGCAGTATATAGACTGTAGTATATAGACTGTAACTTTAACTTTGAACTTTAACATATAACGTCATGTCTAGACTTTCATAACAGTTGATTTGCTGCAGTAGTAGTTAAGCTCATTTCAACAAAATAAGTAAAAATAATCCTTACATTATCATCATCGTCATTAGGCACTGCTTGAGCAGCATAGCATAGCACGTCTTGCTTGGCAGGCAGACATATGAAATAATAAATTGAAATTTGAATTATGGTACCTAAGTAGCTCATACATAATTAATTATGTTTGTATTATATTTTGTTTACTAGTTGACAAGTTACACGTGATAACAGAAATTCTGATTTTATTCCAGATTCTCTTGGCGTGCTTCCTCGCACTAGCCGCTGCGAAGCCCCACGTGCTTCCAATAGCCTACACGGCAGCATACACTGCTCCTGTGGCAGCTGCGTACTCTACACCTCTCGCTTACTCAGCTTACTCCGCCTACACTGCACCAGTTGCTTACTCAGCATACACATATGCTGTCCCCTACTCTTACTACCTTCGCCGTTAATGTTAATAAAAAACATGTGACATAAAATCTCTTTTATTAAACATATCAGAACCATCAAGGCCGGCGTTAAATCGAGCATGTTACTTGAAATTTGCGATAGCTGCAAACACACACAATACCTCTGTCATATAAAATATGAAAAATAATACCATCATCTTTCTATAATCGCACAAAATTTAAATATTGAGTCTGAAATTGAAATTATATGGTAATATATATATATATATATATATATATATATATATATATATATATATATATATATATATATATACATATTACCATAGTGTGAGTGTGTATATATGATTATAATTTGAATAGGTAAATGTGATTAAAAAAATGTGTTATAATCATTCGGAATTCATCCATTTATAACTAATATTCAGAATTAATCCAGTTTTAAATATCCAAAGTCGGTGGATGTAGGTGGCTCAGGACCGTGCTTTGTGGCATTACTTGGGGGAGGCATATGTTCACCAGTGGACTTGTGAAGGGCTGTAATGATGATGATGATGAATGAAATATCCAAAGCTAACGTAGGCCTTCCTCTTAGATTATGAGGCAATCTATGGGGGCCTATTTTCAGCATTGGACTTTGGATTCGCTACAGTTGCCACACTATGCAGGCTTTCTCTCTGTCGCTTTTAACTACACCTACGGAATGATACAGGGTAGTGGAGCCGTTTATGGCACCACTACATGGAACCCCCTGTTCGCCAAGCGAGCGCGCACCATGTTATACTCCCGTTCACTCGGGACCTTTTTTGGCGGGAAAATTTGTAAGTTAGCAAATTGTTTGCTATATTGCAAATTTTGCTATATTTTCACTTTGAGACAATATTTATGGATAAAACTTACAGGAATTCTTGTTGAATGTATAAACTATCGAATAAAATTATTTTTGGTTGCTAGAAATTGTAATAAAATACGTAAATTACCCTGTATAGCACAGTAGTAGTATGTACTTCAATTTTAGTGACAAAATTACTACTAATTTGAATTCTACACTTTTGTTTTTGGAGAAATTTATATCAAATTGTTTGGAAATATGTATATTTTTATGTTTTATGTGTTTCCATTCGTTACTCATACCAAAATATTAAAATATAAAAAAAAAAATAATATTTTATCTCTATGACATTTCGAACAATATTTCTAAAATATGTTTGTGTGAATTTGAAATAAATACAACGTCATGTTATTTGAAATATATACGAAAACTATTTTTACTTACATTTTACACTAAAAATAAATGAGAATTTGAAAAATAACACATTTATAACTCACCTGCCAAAACGGGCTTTCCGGAATTTGAAGTACTTTTTGGCAATTTACTTTTCACTTTTTATACCACAAATTACATATCTACGTGTTTACTATATTACAAGGAATACAAAAAAGTATAATACTTTCGTTTTTAGTCCAGACACAAATATAAAATTCTATAAAAAAGACGGAGCACCTTCATCAAAGTGACACGTGGAACGCCGGAAGTTCAGAGTGATTTCTTTTTTTTTTTCTAAGAAACATTGCCAGGTTATGGTTTAAAATAAAAGAGCATATCTTTGTCTTTGATACTAATATCTATTGCATAGTGTCTTTGGTTTTGTTTAAAACGAAAAAATAGTTTTTTCATAGGTATATGTTTATACCTATGAAAAAAACGTATATATGTTTACATAATTCTGATCTAATTCGATCACTACTTGGCGGGCGTAAGGTTGGTATTGCGCGATCGAAGGTGAGCATGGCTTGGTTGACAGGTTAAGTAATAAGTAGGAAGTACGAGAGTGGAAGCCGAATTTATTAAAATTCAGCTTCCACTCTCGTTTCACTATTTACGGAAAATTATAAAATAATAACCCAACAACGCCTTATGAACATATTTCAAATTGAAATATAATTCCTCTAACTCAGTTGAATAATGTCTGTCTATACACGAATACTAAATTATATATAATATTCTATTCTATATTATATATAATATTCATACCTGCCTTTAAAAATAACCCTTCCCATGTCGAGTCGTTTTATTCGTGCTGCAGCTGTAGCGTACCTCTACTACATCGTCATCAGGCATCCTCTCCCAGGGCGTGTCACTTTCTCTGGTCTTCAGCTACGCGCATCCATTCGCTCCAGCTACTTTACTACTAAAGAATTATTTATTAATTCTTAAAGTAAAAAAAAAAAAAACAATTTAATAGAATTCTAAAATCTCTTTGCAACATTCGTGAATCGAGCCAGCTCAGTCGTCGACAATTCGAACCAATCTTTGCTGGATGCGGTCAAGTGAAGAGACCAAAACATTCATTGATTTGTTAATTGTACTTCGAAGTGCTATTTTTCCAAGTGTTCGGCGGTGAAGGTCAACATCGTGAGCATAGATCGAAAAACCTCGACAGAAACTTTACTTTAGTTTTTACACAAAGTAAATTATGAATTGATTTTGTAATAGAGTCAGCACTAATTTTAGAATATGTATAAAGCCTTTTTCAGTTTCTGTTTTTTTGAAATTATTGTAATCGAGTTACTTAATACGTGGTTAGAGAATATAAGGCAAAAAATAAATAAAGCCATCTTAACTTTATTTATTTGTGATTATACTTCAAGATACACCAAAGAAGACATTAAAACCATAACTGAAAATTATTGATTGTCTGTTTGGTTGGTATACAAGCATAACGTAAGACTAAAATCATACACGTAAGGTTTTTTGATGCTCTAAATAATTTATTTGATACAAAATCAATATTAAAAAAAATATTTTTGAAAACAAGCTTTCATTTAAATGCTTTTAAAAGAAGATAATAAACTTTAAATTATATCAAAGCTATCAATTTATTACATTACACAATTTATATGATATAAAAGCTTTAACGCCTCATTTATGTTTTTTAATCGCTATCATTAATTTTTTTATCGCTATCAGTTAACTCCCGGCAATCCCTACAAAATTTGTTTAAGCATCACCAAAATAAACCTTTGCTAATTTTTAACTGTTTAAGATTGTTATGCGTCCATCTTATTTTCCGCTATTTAAATTTTTTTTTCACCACCGCCAGAATTTGCCCAGGGTGTAGGTCGATATTCGTTAAGTGACAACCCTGCTAAGTCTTACCATTTACTCGGGCAGTAGTACGCTATCTCCTCGAAGAGCTGAATTAGGACGTCAATTTATTCGTATTCTTCTCAGCAAATCCTTTTATTTGATATCCATATCATGGGGTGAATGAAAAAACATAGTCCGACATCTTTGGGAGTCCACCATATTGGATTTAGAGTGACAATTCATTTATGAATTTTTCTCAGCAAACTCTTTTATTTGATACCCATATCATGGAAGTGCATAAATAGTAACTAGTCCCCCATCTTGGATGGACCGTCACATTATATTTAGTTACGTCACTTAGCTAATCATGCATTGTCCTCCAAACTAAACGTGTATGAAAAATTTTAGCTCAATCCGTTTAGGGTAACTGCTTTTAAACTTAGTTGCAAGTTTTAACCCTAACAAATAAACATTGCAAGTTAAATAAAAGCTTTTAATAAAGATAAAACCAATTGAAGAGAATAAAATAAATAAATGAAATGAGCAAGAGCTGGATCTGTATATGCGGAATAAGTAATGTAATCTGTAGTTACAAGATCATTGCAGACCGTCACGGGTACACAAGAACGAGTACACGAGCAGTGCACAAGGTTTGAAGGCTAAAATGAAGAAACATGTTCAGATGACGGTTTAGGAGAATGTATCACACCATTTTGTCACGGAGATGTAGGTAAAAGGTATATGCGAGGTTTTATAAAGATTTTAACTTCCATTTATTATGTAATGTTTACATTATATATTGGGTGCGTTTGGCAGAAAAAAGCGCTAGCAAGCGCTTATAAGCGCTAAAATAGTTTTCGGCCAGGACACGATTGCTACTTCAGTAGCGCTAACACAATCCGTCATTTTGCTTATTTAATTTGTTTGTTTTGAAGTAGAGTTTATAAGTTGTTTTGTGCAATATTAGTTTTAAGTAATATAATGACATGAATAAACATATACATGCTATCAAAAACTCATGATTGGTAAGTTTTTAATATGAATACTTTACAAACATATATTTAAATTAGGTTAGATTCCCCGGTTAAAACTAACATCATGTCCTGGAGGAAAATAGCTACTTACGATTTGACAGCGCTTACTGCTTACGATCGCCATTTTACTTACAAGCGCTTGCTAGCGCTTTTTTCTGCCGAACGCACCCATTATGATTTGTATATTTTTTGTAAAGAAGAGGGGGCAAAAGAGCACGCAGTTCACCTGATGGTAAATAACTACCGCCGCCCATGAACAACTGCAACACCAGGGGAATTGCAGTTCATGTTAATTGTATAATATAAAAATGTGTTTGATAACTGGTTATAAAAATCCCGCTGGATTTCTCGCTGGTCCTTCTAAAGATAATAGATTTTTTTCAATGCGTGTTACATTCAAAAATGTTTTTCAATACGTATTTCATTATTAAAATACACTCACTTAATCATAAATTAAAAATACTAACTAGTAACATTATTGTCTATACGCCTCCGAAGTGTTCGCGACGCTTTTTTAGCAAATGCCTTATGGCAAATCTTCGCGCGACGAAAGGTATTTACAGCAGTGAACCTTAGCATCAGCTACATTACAAAAAAATATAGAACATTCCTAATTATATGCACACAAGTAGGTAGCCATCACCATAAACATTTCACTGACGTCAGTAAGGATCGACGACACTGTGGCTTTGTTTGTAGGGGCTTAGCGTGTCGTTGTGAAGCGGTGGACCGCGAGATAGAAATTCGCACGGAAGAAGTATTTGTATTGTTCTGGGGCTGGATAAAACAAAATAAGTGCTTATCTCTAGTATACTGGATGTTTTTCTTTACCGACTGGAAAAAATAGGGTACAAAAACAGGTACAACAGGTGAATGGAATGTAAGCCTATGGCACTGATATTTTACAATTTTATTTTTATTTTACATTATATATTATGAAATTCATCTATCGATAAATACTAAAGTATTAGTGCCATAGACTTTTATTCCGTTCACCTGTTACACCCAAATTTTTTCCAGACGGTAAAAAAAATTCACCCATATTAAAAATCTATTGCCTCCACTATACAGGAGAAAATCTTAGTGCGGCTACGTTATAAATAACCGTTTTATTATCGTTACTTGTAAGTACGTGAAAACCACATCATATAAAAACTAATATATATACTAACATATAATTCAACCGTCGATGTGAATTAATTTAAATTATTCTATTTCGATAGAATCAGGCATTACTTTCCGGAGATCCATTATAATAAAGATATTAATAGTCACTTAGCAAACATCCGCTCAGTTAAATAAAATGATGTGTCCTAGTTAGAAACACGCCCACTACTCCCAACACCACTACTCCCAACACCACTATTCTAGGAAAGACACACCATTCACGATAATACGACACGTATTTCGCCTCTACACGAGGCATCTTCAGGTGATGTAGACTCTACGGCGGCTGACCGCTAAGTCAGCCTTAGTATTCTATTTAATTGAGCGGAGCTAAGTAACTATTAATATGTTTATTATTCTATTTTTAAATAGGTTATACCTAAAGGTTAATCCAATTAAATTTGAAGAAAAAATTCTATCGCCTAATTTCCCACCCTTTAAGGGATTAGGCTTTTTTATTGTTACTATTTATACCAGCCGCTAATTGCCTTGAGCGCGTACTTTTGCATTGTTCACCAAAAATATAAAAGTTTTACTTATAATAAAACAAAACTGACTTCAAAAACATATGTACTTCAAAAGCGTGTAACTTATAATTTACACTTTGCCTTATCACCAACTTCAGAAGCTATTATGTGGAATTTATTTTATTCTTTTTAGTTATAGCAGTCAGTTTTTACTTTTATTAAATGTTTATTTTTTAAATACTTTATACAATAATACTATAATTCTACAAACTGCCATTACAAACAGTTTGATAAAAGTAAACGTAAATATCTTAAAGCGTCGCGAAAAAAAAAATATTCTAGACACGCGTGTTAGTTTGTTTCTTCATAGAAGATAAGGTATAAAATGCAAGGAAGAACTCGTACAGTATTACATTGTCACTTGCTTTAGAGCTCTACTGTTTAAATTGATTATTTTATTGAATCAAACACAATGTTCAAATTGGTAAGTTATACAATAAATAGAAGTCTGATGTTTTTTTTTCACCGCCCAGTAAAGATGTTTCATTATTATATTTACTATTTATTTATTGCTTAATAAATTCAATTATTAAGTAATAGAGCCGTGGTAAATCAGTGGTTAACGCTCGCTGTAAATATAACAGAACGCGAGTAACCCGGGTTCGATCCCCGCCGGCAACAATGAAATTGATAATTGCAATTTTAAGTGCTGATTTACCACGTGCTCGGCGGTGAAGGAAAACATCGTGAGGAAACCTGCCTGTCTGAGGAATAAGAAAAAATATTTCGACGACATGTGAAGTTCGCTAACACGCATTGGGGAGCGCGGCGGACACTTCCTTGACCTAAAACCCTCTCAGAAATGAGGGGAGGCCTGTGCCCATTAGTGGAACGTATATAGGCTGTAACTTTACTTTTTTTACTTTTAAATTCAATTAAATAACGTTTTTCTGGTCTATACATGAAAATTAATTATTAAAATTTAATATAATATTAAAAAACTATAAAAAAGAAAAACTAAAACTAAAAATTTTAATTATCATGGTCCTACTCCCCGTGGTATCGTTTCAAGAACGCTGGCTTCCTGTTTCCTCGCTGATGAATTATACTTAGCCATTGAGTGAGAAAAGAACCCAGCTACGACCAGTCGCGGATACAGTTCTTTTAGGAACAATATTATTATTATTGTTCAATATTATAGAAAATTAATTTTGTTTATTTTTATTTATCGATGTGTTTAATTTCTTTATAACTTTTGTTTACAGTTAATCTTTACGTGCTTCCTCGCTCTAGCCGCAGCCAAGCCCGGTGTGCTTTCAGTTGCCTACACCGCACCAGTAGCGGCGGCTTACACTGCACCCGTGGCTGCAGCCTACACTTCACCTCTTACCTACGCGACCTATTCCGCCTACGCCGCGCCTGTAGCGGCTTACTCCCCTTACACATACGCTGCGCCATACTCTACGTACTCGTACTACTTACGTCGTTAATGGCATTGCTATTTCCTGAGAATCTGCTTAGAAATTAATACCATATCTTTAAAATTTATATTTAACTAAATAAAATTCAACTATATTATTTGACGGCTTAGTAGTGCAGTCGCAGTAATGTAACCGTTCGAGTCCCATGTGAAACAATTTTTTGTTGGGACTACAAATAACTGTTCCTGGTCTAGATTTGAACCTTGTGTAATTAATGAAACAGAAACTTATACAATACAGATTAAAAATTTAATATTGAAAGTTAATCTTTTTTTATTTACTACTGATTCGGAAAAAAAACCTCTGTCCTGGGAAGAAACCAAGCGAGACATTAAAAAAATAACAGCTTACAATCATATATGTTACATAATTAACAACACAAATTACACATACACAACAATACTCTCGCCTGTCACCCAGAGGGGTAGGCAGAAACTACAGACTTCCATATGGCACGATCCTGACGCACCTCTCTCGCCTCCTTTTTTTTGCGCCCGAAGCAAATATGGGCAACCCTCCAGAAAGCGGGGGAGGGAGGCGGTGAATGCTCATAGCATACCACGCAGCCGGCTGCGTGGTTATGTGGAGACTTTTACCCACTAAACACCGCCTTTATGGATTGGCTTACCGATCTGACGAGAGATCTCTAAGCCGTATACGAACGCGACCCCCCTTGGCAGAAAGGAGGGCGCAAGCGGCGAAAAGCCGCTTAGAAGTATGCCTAACTAAGGCAGATTAAGGGATGTATTATGTAGGCTCGGCCTAAGCCACCAGTACAGGTCAGCCGAAAGCTATTTGGGGGGACTCTCGCCTCCTCCACATCCATATACCTACACATACATGCTCGGCGGTTAAGGGTTCTCTCCAATCTGGCCCATTTTTAATATATCGCCAATATGGTCGATAAACTTTCGCCTAGGACGTCCCTTTCCGACTCTGGCGTTCACTTCTGCAACATAAATTCGCTTTGTCACTCTTTCCTCATTCATTCTTTCTACATGACCAAACCACCGAAGCATTCCTTTCTTAATCCTGGTCACAACATCATCTTGCAAACCACACTTATCACACAATTTCTCACCCTGTCACTCAGATTTAGCTCTAACATACTCCTTAATGACCGCGTTTCTACTGCGTTTATTCTACTCTCGTGCTTCTTCTGCCACACCCAACTTTCACTACGACTAACACAGCATTATGAATTGCCATAGGGGCCTTTTTGACACGTTCTGACTTTCCACAATAGAGTGCAGAGCGCCATTTACACGGACTCGTCGTTCTATATCCTCATCATACAACACAAAACTAATTAGAAATAGCTTGGCAGCTATTATTCCCAGAGGTTATTATCAACCATAACTTTCTCAATAAAACCTTTTTAAACAAACTTTGCTTAATAATTTTTTTGAACTTTGAGGAGGTCAAATTTAGTATATTGTCTGGAGTTTTGTAGTAAAAGCGTGTATGTACATCGCCCCAAGAATGAATTACTGACTCGGTGGAGTCGAGTAACTAGTACTAATAGCTTGTGTCTCTTTCTAGTGTTTATATACAGAATGAAAATATCACTTATTTTTGTAAAACTTTTTTGTCATCAAATCTTGACGTTTTGAGGTCACAGGAAGCCACCCTGACAATTTTCGATAGTGTCTGTATTTCTGTATGTATGTATATAATAATGTGAATTAGTCCCAGCACCACTACTCCCAACACCACTACTCCCGGCACCACTACTTCTAACACTACTATTCCAGGTAAGAGACACCATTTGTACCACCGCTAAGTCTTAGCGGTTACTCTTCAATCCAGGCAAGACACATCATTGTATTTAGTTAGCGGAAGGTTGCGAAATAATTAATATTTTTATTATATTAATTTCCTTTAATGTTTGTCTGAACGTCTCTTTAGGTTTTGAATCATAGATCTCTCTGAGGGCCCTCTACTGTAAAACAAATATAATTTCAGTGTTAGTCGCTTGTCCCCATAGCAAAATACCATACGAAATAATATTATGGTAATAGCTAAAGTAAACTAGTCTAGTTATTTCAACACAAGTAAGATTTCTAATATTTTTATAGCATAAATGCTTAAGATTTAAGTCTCCTTGCTAGTTTTGAAATATGGGAGCCATAATGAAGCTTCGCGTCTAGTGTGGTTCCAAGAAAAATGGTGGTATCTACAAGACTCAACGACTCCCAATTTAAATAGAAACAGAAACTTTATTATTCAATATAGATTATAAAAATTACTTATTAAAAGTCACTTTTTTATTTAATTACCACTGGTTCGGAATACAACCAATGTCCTGGGAAGAACCAGGAAGACCCCTAGTGGGACATTTAAAAAAAAAATAGCTTACAATCATGTATGGTTACACAATTACCAACAAAAAACAAATTAGAAATAGCTTGGAGCGAACGCTAGGTTAGTGCTGAATTTTTTTTTCTTACATCTTTTTGTAAAAGTGAAATTATGTTGTCTTATAGATGATGAATGTGTAAAATATTATTCATTTACTTTTAGTGTAAGAACCCGCGCAGCTGTCCTCAAATTCGATATAAACTAATAAAATAGTAACTACGCGAAATACGATCGAATTTACGAACGACTCGTACATCGAAATCCATAAACCAATAAAAATAATATTTTTTTTGTAAACAAAATTCAAATTACAGTCCGTAATGAGAATTAGTGACAGTGTGTTGTAATTTCCAACATTCTTTACGAATAGTTTTGTTTTTAAAACTTTCAAGAAGTACTTATACATTTTATGACTTTCAGGAGAGTATTGGTTTTATTTTGAACAAAATATTTAAATAGAACAGCAGCACCGCGTTAAACATTCCATACATTATTTTCTCTTTAAATTATACCTAATAGTTTACAATGCAAACTTGAACTTGAAAGTTATCTTTGTCATACATTCGAGAGTGTAGAAGATATTAAAACAATGTGTTGCCGACCTACGAACATGACATGAAATGTTATGAATGGAATAGATTATAACTTAAAATTAGCAGAACTATTAAAGAACCATCATTTTTAGAAACTGTCGTGCTGGTGGCTCGAAGAGTAGAGATCTGTAGAAGAGTCGAAAGGAAAATCGTCCCTTCCTACGGTTTCACACACGGGAGTCATTCAATTATTAAAGGTTTATCATTAAAAGTGCAAAAACCATATTAATAAAAATATTTTTTTCTTGTAGGTAAATGTATATAAATTGAACTTTGCTATTGTCCAAGAGAAAATAATGTACGAAAAGAGGAGTAAAAGTTTTTGTTGGACCAAAGACAGGATAGAAAAATGCAAATTGGTGGAATAGACCGAGAAAGATGTCACATTCCGCACGGTTATCAAAAGCAAATAGAATATTGCGGCTTTATATTTCGACATCAAATCCATCTAATAAATTTAAGCTATTAATAGAATATTACGTTAAATTTTACGCCCAGTATCGTTCCAAATAAAAACAAATCCGACTTGCAAAGATGACTCTAATAATTGCGTGTAATTCAACGTAATGCCTATTTTGCTTATCCAGAAAATTTGCTTTTGTCAATTGTTGTCTGTTGAAAACCGAAAAATCAGGGAACTCATTGCCAGAGGAATACTGAGAGCACGAAATTCAACCTCATTCAGGAAAACAATCTAGTGTCTTTGAGGTACCACATGTTAATTTTGAAGCCAATAGATATTGTTGATCTCATAGATCAAAACTAAATCCGCAATTTTTCGATATATCACAGATGAAGAAATAAACAAGATTATTGCGTCTCAGGACAAGGAAATCTTACTTTTTTTAAAGCACCCATGTCATACGCAGGCTATTGAATGTTCTGTGAAAACTGTAACCGAAGCATCTATGGCATTATGCGATACAGAATCAAAAGGTTTATTAAGAGTGAAACTAACCTCGAGGAAATTGATCGCATTGCTTTGACAGTGAACAAGATTTTGTGGCTAAAATATAACGTTATTTTTACAGTATCATTAATAGTAATTATATTTTTTTTTTAATTCTTTGTTATATTCATTCGTTATTGTATTGTATGTAATATTAGTTTACTTGATAGTAATGTATGATTGTTTTCTTATAAAATATGTAAGTTTAAATAAACATTGTTTTTGTTGAAAATTTTCAAAACTTCAAATCAAATGCGCGGGCTAAATATAAAAGACAACAAATTTATTTTGAAAAACCCCATACATTAGTGGCCCACCGCAGCCACCACCCTATTCCCAGGGTCTATTGTCATCCAATATATTATACTATATTATAATTAAAAATTATAAAATATATTTAAACTCAAATCAAGTGTTAGTCTAAAAATATAAAAATTAATAAATTAATAGTAAAAAAATATTTTACAAAATTATACCGTACGAAGCTTACGAGTGCTACTAGTAACTTATGTAAAAAAACGTAAAACATACAAAACACTCACACCTGTCACCCAGAGGGGTAGGCAGAGACTAAGGACTGCCTGAGTTGACTCGTTGTGTATTTTTATATGTAACGTATAATACATACGTACATAGATATATACTCCCGCCTGTGACCCAGAGGGGTAGGCAGAGACTACGGATATTTATATAATATAAGACGATGTCTTACAAATATATTGAATAAAACAGAATAAAACAAAGATTGTTTACGTATTACCTTAACGTCCGTTTATATAATCACCACTATATAATCCTATGCCTTTAAACGAGCAATTCTTGTAAATATATATATATATATATATATATATATATCGGAATGTCGGAAACGGCTCCAACGATTTTCATAAAATTTTGTGTGCGGGGAGTTTCGGGGGCAATAAATCGATCTAGCTAGGAATTATTTTTAGGAAATATCTTTTTGTCCGTGTTTTTAGGCAATGAAAAACTGCTACAATATCGTTAGAATAAGAAGGTAAATTTTGACAGTTTACTCGTATTAATGATTACAAATAGCTTAATTGGTTTATTGGGGGGTCACAAAATCGTAATACCATGGTTCGAGA